TAAAATAAATAAATAAATTAATTAATTAAAATAATAAATCAAGAACAATTTACTCAAATCCAGATCAGGGGCCTTTCTCATTTCAAGATGAATTGCTGGCCAAGTACCTCAATATGCTTAACAATCTATTTTAAAATGCAATAGTTTATTCCAGATTGCAGTACAATTAATGACAAAGAAATAATCATTGGTTGTTTTACTGTGAAAATCACTAATTACAAGAATGTATTGTGCAAGAATGTATTGTGCATTGCTTCAGAGTAAATAACTGTTACACAATTGGGCTATTATTGAGAAATACAATGATTTACAGAGTAATTTAAATCATATTTCAACATGAAAGTTCCCCCTATGCTTAAAAAGCTAAAACCAGCCTTATTTGACTGGAATAGACAACAAATGAAAAGCTGAAAAAACGAATAAGAGCTTAAAATAAATAAACGAAAATCACTGGGGATGTTGAAATATCGAAGACAGTTTTTCGATCTTGCTCCACAGCTTTTATTTCTAAAAACAGACAGTTCACAGTTATGCCACATTTGTTTGTCTTCATTAATCAGCAATGTCTGAACGTATGGATCAATGTTTTCTTTGAACACATGAAATAAAGGAGAGTACATAAAATAGACAAAATATCCTGACATGCATAAGAAGCAGAAGGAAGCTGAAGCTTCTTTTAATATCTAATGCTTTCTCCACTCTTAACCATCTCTAGGCATTTTCCTTCAACTGCATGAAAAACTGTTTAATTTTGTTCTTTTTTTTTCTTATGGCAAAACAGGGAGAAGTAACCATTTGTGGCTGAAGAAAAGTCTTAGAGAAATGAGTACTACTAAATGCAAAAGGCTGTTTTTATTTCTTTCCACTTGTTTAAAATAACTAATCACAATTTAATCAAATTTAAGTCTGCAATCTAACTTTTTAAAAAGGGTTATCATTACAGGAAGAATTGATGTGGAGTAAGGGAACCTACATTTACTGTCTAAAAAGATCAGTCTTTCTCATTAGTGCTATTATTCTTACCAAATCCTGGGATTTTATTCATTGTTCTTCCTTGATCATAGTCAAACAAAGCTGAAAATAAACCAATCCCTTATAAATGCATATAAAAACTAACATATTATTTTGGAATGCTTTTAGCTTGAACAACTATCACAAATAATCTCCGACTTTCTCGTTTTGTTCTTTTAGATGAAACAAGTCTGGCAAAAAAACAAACAAACAAAAAAAAAGATCCTTTTTGTGAAGTGTTGCATAAAAATCTAATAACTTTGGTTTATTTGATTTAGTTATTCCAAAATAAACAACTAAAAAACATATCACAAAGCTTGGGATCAGTATGAAAGTTTTTATAAATATATAAAAAAAAAAAACCCTGCATATTTAGGAGAGCAAAATGAAAATAAAAAGACAACCAGTGTGTTACATTAAGTGAGTGAAGGACAAGCTTTGCTAATTTCTGACTCATAATTACTTTTAATTGCAGAGCATTATTAAGCTGTTAAAGCTTAACGAAGGAATCCTGTCTTCATCTAGATATTTTTAATCAATGTTTTTTTTTTTAAACAATAAAATCACTTTAGATTTCATGCCTCTCGAAATTCACAAGAATCTCCTTTTCCCATTTTGTTTTTAAATACCTCCTTGTAGCTAAAACAAAAACACAAGCCACTCATGCACAAGTACTCCCTCTCTTCCACATGTTGGTGAACAGCTCAGGGGTGATCTCCCCCGACTGTTCCTGATCAGAAAGCTCCTGTTGGGGATATGAGTGAGGGGATAACATCTGACATTGGCATCCAGCCCTCTGACCCCAACCGTAATTCTGTGGTGACTGCGGAAGCCTTCACCACAAGCATCTTCAAAAACAGGACCTTTTGCGCGGGGCAGGGGAGCAAGAAGTGGTGGGCTTGGATTGGGCTGGGCTGGGGGTAGGGGCAAAGCCTGTGAATTCCGGAGGGCGGACTCTTTGGCGGTGGGTGGGTGGGGATATGGGCTTGTTTTTGTTTCATTCCTTCCGATGTGTTTTTCCCTCTCTCCTTACAACTGGGAATAACCCCCTGAGAAATGTCCCACCAGGGTTAGGTGTGAGATAAGATGAAGGGGTTAGGAGGTGTGGGGGTGGTGGGGGGATCTCCAGGAGCAGACTATTTTTCATGCTTGTTGTTTTCGAGCTGGTGGACGGCCTTGAGGATTCACAACCATCCCCTCCTCCTCTTTTCTCTCTCTCCCTCGCTCTCTGCAGCGTTCTGTTTTTGAGCTCACGGAAGAAGAAGAGGAAGAAGAAGAAACGGAACAAATTGTTGTGGAGTTTCAAGTTATGCAAAACCTGCCAGATATAATCACCGCTAATTGAGTCTCGAACCTGCATGGAATTTCAACAATAAAGACCGCACAATCATCCATTCATCCATAGTTCTCCTTGTATATTATTCACTTTACTGCAGTTACGAAGCACTCACTTACTGCAGCAATTTGCAAAGATGTGCAGGACAAAAGCAGAAAAGCCAAAACCTACCAAGTGGAGATGAGAAATGACAGTTTTCGGGGTTGTTTTTCCAGACTTTTCTGCTCACATTCCAAAGCTGTGAGTTCAGCTCTCCTCTAGTGCCCACTAGGATGCTGGGAGGTTACTCATAGAGCTTTGGAAACACGAGCTTGTGCTTTGTTTTAACTTACTCTTATTATTATTATTATTTGTTTTTTTTACTTCTTAAGTTTAAGCTTCAGGTACCAAAGCGGTGTTCAGTTCATTTCTGGTTGAAATGGTTGAAACAGAAGCCATTATTTGAAATTCAAATCAGATTTATTGCTTGCCTGTGCTTCGTGGCACTATGTGTCAACTTGTATCTGAAGCATTTTGTTGGTTGTGCATGTCCAGACAGATCAAAACTAAATCAGATATTAATAGAAAAAAAGTAGCTAAAATAAAAATAAAAAACAATTGTAAAATAAAGTGTGATACAAATTTAGCCATGCTGTAATTTATTTTATTAAACACAAATTGCTAAACAGTTCATTGTCTATCAAGTCGTATTTTCTCCAAACCTTGACAATTTATACTTTTTTGTAATTGGAGGCAAATTATAATATGATTCAGATTGCGCAGTAGTCAGTAAATTTTACTTTGAAGTGCCTTTCAGTATAGAAATCCAGTGGTGCTTCACAATAAAATAACTAAAGACACACACATAAAAAAAAGATATATCAAAAGTTAAATAAATTACAACCAGTAAAATTAAAAAAGGTTAGGGAAATCTTTAGCTGCCTCTTGTGAAGTTCACTGATCCACAAAATGAAAATGAAAATACAGAGTTTGTGTGCAAGTGCAGCAGACAGTTTGCTCTTCTCTGTCTTTAGAGATAGCGAGCCCTTATCAGTCGGCTTCATGAACCAGGTGGTTGACATACAGCTGTAATATGTCAGAAATATACAAAGAATTATCACCTCACATAACTTTGAAAATCCAAGCCAGAATCTTAAAGCGAATTCTGTATCGTAAAGATAAATAACACGACGAGTTAACTTACGTTTAAGTTAAGCCTTCAAAAAATGGGTGAAGAGTGATGGTTTCTGCATTTTGACCGTTTGTGTTTCCAGCAACAAATAATTCCAGGCAGATTCTTTGGTTTTACAGATTTTCTGTATTCAGAAAATCTGCTTTTAGAAACCTGAAGCAATGTGGTGGATGGGCAACGTGGTGCTAATATGCTCCACTGAGACAGTAAAATATTCGGATCCTTCTGGCATCTCCTTCAAAGTACCCTGAGCCGTAGGAACTTTTTAAAACAGCTTGCCAACAAGCTTGTAGCCTCAGCAACAGCAGTTTTTAAACGGTGCAACACGAATAAGAGCAACGGAAGGAGCGCCTCACATTCTCTACATCTTTACAGGCAGTGTTTTCCCACACAGTTGGAAATGTCCTTGTGTTCAAGCAATAAGCCTTCTTTCAGTCAGCTGACTGGGGAGTGTGCAGCAGTTTCCACACCGTGGCTGCCTGTGTTTTCTGGGAGCTGAATGTTTCAGCAGCCAATAAGAGAAAAGTGGAGGAACCTTTTCTTCACTGGAGGGGGAAGGCAGCATTTTGGCGCTTTGTGTTTCACTCTAGTTTTCACAATGAAAGTTGTTCTCTGTGACACAAAAAGGCTAATTTGGACTTCTTGTAAGTCAAGCCTACATTCAGCAAGCTGACAAGGCAGTGTGCAGCAACAGATTTGAGAGGAGTGTTCCCACACGGCTCTGTTTTCCACTCTTTGGTTTCCGTCGTGTTTTCCGCATACAGAAACCATTTTGCACAGAAACATTTGTCTTTCTTCTGGGCAGTGGAAACATTCAGTAGCTTTCTTTCAGCCAGCTGACTTTTCAGCTTGCTGCAACAGGTGGAAAAGCTGAAAAAACCCCTCGGCACTTGTTTGACATGTTGCCTTTATTGCACATGAGCAGTGTAGCTGCACATTTTTACTTCTTTTTAAACCTGTCAGTCTCAGTACAGGTGACCAGGCTCGGCCTAATTGCCACATGTCATTAGCATTATCATTTGCTTCTGTTTCTGAATTGTTCCTTGTTGTTTTTTTTTTTCCTTTTCTTGTTTTTCTTGTTGCCATCACCACCCAATTACCCTGCAGCATTCATCAAAGCATAATTTAATCCCGTCTAATCATCTAATCTAATCTGTGTGCATAATAGGCTCATGGTTGCCACACCAGCCCATTTATGATACAAGAAGGGGAGGGAGGATGCAAACAGTATCTTTCTTACCTGGAATGTGCCTGATTACTTCATGAAGGCTGTTACGGATTTTGTCCTGTCGCCTTCATTGGTGGGAGCAGAAATTAGAAACAAGAAAGCATATAATTGACAAAGTCACGTGTTCTCACTACGGGAACGGGCACAGCCAGTAGGAAAGCGAAGGAGGGAGAGAGAGAGAGAGAGGGAGAGAGAGAGGAGGTGGGGGGATAGAGCGAGAACAGAGGTGGTGTGAGTGAGGAAGGGATCGGAGGGAAGAGAGAAAGACATGACAAAAATCTCAAAAGGCAGAAAGCACGCCGTACCATGCGAGCCAAACTGGCGACCGACGGGATCGAGGATGTCGGATTAATGGTGACGACCGCAGCCCGTTTTCGCAGAGGAAGCTTCTCTATCGCAACTTGGGCGCAGAGGGTCCGCGGGGAAACATGGCCGAAGGTTATTCTGCAATTATTATGAATTCCTCCCCTCCCTCTTCTCCCCTTAAAAATATTTTGATGCTCTTTAACGCGAGCGAAGATGGTGATGGGGGAGTGGGTGGAGGGGGGACAGGCAAGGTGCAGCGTGATTATTGTTGCAAAGCTACTTAAAACAGAGGGAAACCTGAACCGCCCCTTGCCGAGCGCCGTATCTAACCATGTTTGGCTGCGTTAAGATACGCGCATTGTTAGAGCGTGGCCGTGTAGTAAAAAAAAAATAATAATAATAATAATAAAAAGCTCGGTGAACCCATGTGTACACCTGCCTTTTTTTCCCTCCCCCTTTACAACTCCACAGCAGGAACTGGGTTGTAGATTCACGACAGGACAGAAAAGCCCCCCTCCAACAAGTTACAGAGCATGCATGCCTGTGCACGATGCAGCAGTGGATGCATCGTGCATCCACTGCTGCATCTGTCACGGAGTAACAACTTTTCCAGAGGTCACAACACGCGCACTGCATTTGTGTGGACAGGAGATGTCGGTTTAGAAATGTTCTACCGCCCGTGAACTTCACATTGCGAGTTATAGGGGAATCCCCGCTTCTAAGTTTTTCGTACTTTCCCCATTTCTTTCTTTCTCTCTCTCTTTTTTTATTTTTTTTATTATTTATTTAAATGCAACTCATGTAAAGCGGTTTGCAGAGCCGGGGGCAGATCCCTCTCTAACCCCGCAGCTTTCTTTCTGCGTGTGTTTCCAGGAGGGCCGGGTAAAGGTGGCGGTGGCGCCGGCGGAGAAGACCCCGCCGAGTCCACCGAGCAGGAGGAGAGGACTCGAGCCCAGGTCCTGTCCGGATCGGGCTTCTGCAAGTGGTTCAACGTCCGGATGGGCTTCGGATTTATATCAATGACACACAGCGCGGGGAGCCCCGTCGACCCGCCTCTGGATGTTTTCGTCCACCAAGTAAGTCGGAAAGCAATTAAATAATTTAATCATGAAATAACTGATCTGTGACGGTGATCAGTTTGATTTATGCCCGAAATGAGGGTCGGATGTGTGTGTGTGTGTGTGTGTGTGTGTGTGTGTGTGTGTGTGTGTGTGTGTGTGTGTGTGTGTGTGTGTTGCAACTGGCTCTCTGTTGCACAGAGAGCCAGTTGCTTGTTACATTGTATCATCCGGATGTTTTGCATTGCCCAACATCTTACTGTGTAATCACACGTTGTCCACGGGGTTGAAAAAAAACAAAAACACGTTAAGTTTCCTCTTCGGCCACATGCGGCCAGCTCCCCCCTCCCCTCCTCGCCTCTGCGAGTGGAAGTGGGAGAAGTGTTGTGTGGCTGTGACACGGTTAGTTTCACACTTTGGCCCTTAATGGACAGCAGAGCTCGCTTGTCACCCAGTCAGCCCGCTAAACACGTCGTCGAGCATGTGTCTCCGCTTCTTTCTTTCTTTTTTTTTCTTTTTTCTGCTTTATAGTCTTAACTTGACGCCCTCACTTTGACTCTTTTGCTCTGCTGTTCTCTGCTGCTGTTGCTTTTGTTGCAGGATCTTGTGTGATTTAACGAGGCGCTTTCTGAAACGCATGAAGCCAGGCTCGCTTTTCCACCACATGTTGCTCTGTTGATTTATTGTGGAGGCTCCGGAGTTCATTCAGAGGCCTTGTTTTCGACTCTTTCCGCCCTCTTTCTACCCCGTTAACGCTGCCCTTTTTTTAAATAACGGTCCTGTAAAGTTTCTCTTCGAGGACATGAGGAGATTCATGTGCGCCGTTTGTTTTGGACACTCTGTCCTGTGGTTGTTGTGGGCTTCAGGAGACTTTGACTCTAATCTCTAAAGAGGGTCAAGGTTTTGGCAGTGATCTAAAATATATAAGCTGACGTAGGACCCTGAAGGCCCACAAATCAGTGGCGGTTCTGGTTTGAATGAGGCCCTGGGCAAGCCCCACCTTTTTTTTTTTTTTGCCCCCACCCATAACTAATTACCCCTAAAGAGGTTCCTGCAGAAAGTTTTCAAAGGAGTATCCAAATTGGGGCCACTGATTTATTTAGGCTATAATAATAATCACCTTAAAACAAACAAACATAAAATTAAACCAGTGGTGGCCCCTGATAGAGAGCCATATTGAAAACTCATTCCCAGCCAGTTACCCTTAAGCCCCCATTGCCTTGTCATTCAAGATTTTTTTTAATTATATTTTGTTAGAAAAAAAAAAAAAACTTCTAAAAAGCTTTTCTGAATTGAATGTTTTACATGGAAACATTTTCCAACCTTGGACAAAGTCAAATTTAATCAGTTTAGTAGAAAAGCAACCCAAACGTGTTATACTTAAAACTGAATAAATTTATGGTTTATAAAGTTCTTTAAAATTCTCCTGTTAATTTCATACAGTGTTTCATCAGGAACGTGTGGTTTATTGTGACTGTCCTCTTATCCTCTTAACTTCCTCGTCAGTGACGACGTCCTCTTTTTTTCTTAGACACAAAAATCTTTACCATTTATTTAGTAGACAAAAAATCTCAGTAATTCCACAAATTTTCAACGTCGAATTTTGTAACTGCATTGTGGACTTCCACAATGTGCATATACCTTCTAGTTTTCTCAATTTTACTATATGCAGCTGCAGTAAAAATCTAAGAAAAATATTAATTGATAAAGAGCAATTTTCTAACTTAAAATGAGATTTCAGGTGTTTTTAGAAACATAACTAAACCTAAGTCTATGATCATCCTGTTTGATAAAGACTTTTTAAGCAGTGAAGCTAACGTGCTTTAGAAATGTGATCTTCTCTTCATCTATGCTCATATCTCCTTTTGTTTACAAGAACAATACCGTTATGAAGAATTTAACCTTTTTTTCTGCTTTCTTAGGGCTTTGTTGACATATTAGATTTTAAAAACACATTATGTCTCCATTTAATTTCTGTTTAGGTTTCACCAAATATACAAATACAAACAAGCTTCGAAATATGATTTTATTACTGGCGAGTGCATAAAATCTTTGTGTCTTTGGAATGGACTGATTTGGGTTCACTTAATGTTTTCTGGTCGGTTTAGCAGTGGTGGTACATAAATGAATGCTTCCCTGGGTGAATCCCCACTATTTAAGGAGAGATTTTAACAATCTGTTTGAGAAAGCTAAGAATCATGCGTTTCTTTTTTTTTGTCTGTTAATATAATCTGTTTGTTTTAAAATAGTTCAGTCCAATTTGGAGTCATCTTTGTATTCCAGTATTCATTGTTGCTTCAGTCTGAGATCGCTCCTACACCAAAAACAATGCATCAGAAATGCTTTTCTTTTTTTGCTTTACTTTTGCGTCATCATCTAATGGTGCCTTGGATGGGAAGGCCATATCGTCAGCATCAAAAACCACCACTGCAGATAAGTTTGTATTTGTTGTTTTACAGTTAGTATATATTTTTTTACTTTTACAGCTTGCCAGTCACAAGACTAAACATTTTTTTTTTTTTGCAAGATAATTTTTTCCTCTTTCTTCTTCTTTATCATTTTTTGACCTTGGTAGAGCTTCCTGTCCCGTACTGGGTTTGTATTTCCGCTGATATGTAGGTGATATGTTGGAGTTGCCATTCTCTTTAGAGGATAAAACTGAAGTGAATTAACTTTAACCAGTAAAATTACTCTGTTAGAATTAAAAACAAAAAAACAACAAAAAAAAATCATTGAACAATAAACAATCTTAAAAACTAAAAGTTAGGTACAAATCAAACTCAAAAGACGCTACTAAATTTTCCTTTTAAAAATGTCAGCTGCCTTTAGGGCTTCCACATGCGGCCATTTTGGAACGCCATTGCTATTTTACTGATTCACAAACATTCATTTACAACTTGCAACACTTTTAGACAGAACTGATTTCACTCATTTATGTACCACTGATCGCTGCAGATAGGCACCTCAATTATAACAAACGAGTGAAAAACTGATCATGTTGTTACAGCGAACGTGAAACAATGGAGTCTGCCTGAGGTGCACGTGTGTCCAGTTCATGTGTCCTTCACTGTGCAGGATATATAATTATATACAGATGAAATTGTAAGCTTCAAACATTCAGTCAATTTATAAATGAATTCTGTTTTTACCATGCAAAGTGGATTACTCCACCACCTTATTCTTTATTGATTGTCTTGCTGCTTTTATTGACAAAGTAGACAACAAGTACTTGTATACTGTGGGGTCTTTTCTTTCTTGACTCCTTGAGATGTTTTAGAGATGGATCAGGTCTGGAGCAGTGAAGGAAACAGGCTTAAGAGCTGAGTAGGTGTTGCGTATATTCTGCCAACAATCAGTGTATTTCTGTAGGACTGTAAAACTGGGATATAAATAAATAATAAAAAAATTGGCTGGTTAGGGACATGTCATACTTGCCATTTTAAAGCTCAGTTTGTTTTCAACATTGACAATATCTGTCAATTTTATTGACAGATTTGTTGTTGTGCTGAGAGTAAAACAATGATCTCTTTAAAAAAATGCTCTTTTTCAAAATGATTCTTTCATGTGACGATTTGTTTTTTAGTAAATGCTGCAAAGCTAGCTTTATGCAATTTTGAGTCATCTTTTTGATTTCTGTATGGGTATTATCTGATTAATAATGCCATTAATCTGCATTCTTGCAAAACCAATGAAAGTCACAGAGAGAAGCTTCGCAGCAATATAAGATCTCGTATGGGTTTATTTTTCCCACATGTATTTTTGCCCATTTAAAAAAAAAAAAGCTAATTACCACTATTTAGGTAAATTAACAAGCCCGCAATGAATTGTGTCTTCACACTAATGCATTTCCATCCCATAGTCTCCAGCTACGTGTTTACAAGAACACATCTGTCATCTTACACAAAGGGAAGACAATATGCATTCATAAGCAAATCATCATATTGAATGCAAAACAGCTCGTTTCTTTGCAAAGAATTCACATGCATCCCTCATTAAGACAGTCATTCATTTACTTCTGCTGCTCCTCCCTCTCTGTCTGTTCCGCCAGAAGCCTCAAGCTGCTTCCATGATTTCTACAGGTAGAGGAGAGAAGTCGATCAAAAAATTTCAATTTGTGTGGGGTTTTGTTTTGTTCAAAATTTGATTTGAGATCTGTACTTAGGCAAAAAAAAAAACATAGATATTGATCTAATGTCTGCAAGGAGGTTGTTATATCTAGAGAAATTTCTGTTTGACATGGATGGCATGCAATTTTCGTATCATTTTGCCGCAAAGTTCTGTTTGAAAGCAAACAAAATAGAAACAGCTGAAAAAAAATTTTAACTGCAAAACACTGGCTATATGTATACATAGAGGAGAGAGAGAGAGTTACGTTAAGAATGGTGGGAAGGGGGGACCAGGAGTAAGAGGGGGAGTGAGAGGAGGAGTTTCCTCTGGAGAGGGAAAGAGGAGGGCTGAGGGAAACCTACATGTGGGTGAGGGGTGGTGGTGCTGGTTTGGGAAGGGAGGGCACTAGCAGTGGGTTGTGGAGGAAAACATGAGTGTGAGCTCGGGAAAAGATGAGTGAGTGCAGGAGCGGGAGGTAAGAAAGGGAGGCTGAGTGTGTGAGTGCGTGCGTATGTTAGGGTTCTACGCCCCCACCACGAGTTCTCCTCCTGGGAGGCCTCCTCATCAGCGCTCCCGTCTATTCGATCGCTTCCCTTTTTAGGAAGGCTAGAGAGCAATTAGGCATCTTCACTTCCTGATATCTCTCAGATTTGTCATACTTTTATTTCCCTGTTTGGATAGAACATTTCTCCTCTGTGTGAATGTGTGTGGTTTATGCCCCGCAGTCACATTCGAGGTGTTTCCTCCTCGGGCGTTCTTTTAAAGAGAGAATTTTTCTTTCAACGATGAAAAGGTAAGAGGGAGTTCTGGGGTGTGTGGCAAAGAGAAGCTTGCCCTCAGTCTGCAATCGTTTTGAAACGTAGAACAGTTCGTGCCTGAAATTTCCCTAGTGCGTGTGTTTAATTTCTAAG